AAATGGTTGCCCGTCTACCTGAGGAAGAACGCGTGAGGCAGAGGAGCGTGCTGCCTGGGGAGCAGAGGAGGGGCGCTCCCCAAAGAGCGTGCGGAGGAGGACGACACAAGGCTGCCCAGATACAAACGCGCTGGCAGTGTGCGGGGTTGCCATCCGAATCTCCGAGCTCCTGTGCAAGTCACTGGCAATCACCATCACTGCTGCAAAATACCTCACTTCAGCTGGCAGCTGCGTACGTTACGCACACGTGCGTGTGTGTATACACACGGGTGCATACTGCAGGCCTTGAATTTCTTTTGGAGAAGGTGCACTCAATCTAGATTTCCCCCTCTCCCCCATAAAACTCCCCCTTCACACACAAATTACAACAGACACGTTAAAAAAGGTTGACAAATTTGTTTCTGAATGGAGGTTATTCATACACATCAGAAATACCAGTCATAAAAGCTTCTACTTAACCTTAATGTCACGTAAAATAACTCTACAAGGAGCAAATAAAGGAACTAAATCTGACAGCAAAGGTTATGAGAGAGAAGATGTAGTTTGAGATCCCACAGCAAACGCCCCATGACATGCCAAAGGCTGAAGGAAATACACAAGTGACCCTGCAACATGAGACCTCTTGCCCTTTCCAATTCCGCCCCAGAGGCATAGCTACAAAGGGGGAGAGGCCTATTTCGAGCCCTTCCTTCCTTCCTTCCTTCCTTCTTGAAACCACCACATCCTGGACCACAACTCTGTCCTACAAGCAGAGAAAATAAAATGTGGCTGAGAACAGCCCAGTTTGAAAACGCCAAAGAACTCGCACTGCTTTCTGAAGGCAAAGCTGCCCTTGTTCGTGCACCTACAGTCGCCTTCCCATCTCCTTCCCGAAGAGTACCCTTCCCCCGACTTGGAAGGGCCGCAGGCGAGACCAAGATCAAGGAGTAAAGTTTAATTCTGCTTCTAACTCTGCTTAAAGTATATTAAAAGACATAGAGTATCTTCAAGATTTTGAAGGAAAAGTACTGACAGCTATAATGCTGTGGTTTTGTTTGTTAAAACGGGAACATTTTTTCTAAAAAGAAACACTTGGCAAATTCCTGTTTGCCAGACAAGCCTATACACGTTTGTGTGTGTGTGTGTGTAAATGCATACCAAAATCATTTTTACAAATATACCAAAATATTTTGACTAAATGTTACATTTAATGTTTAAATATACAAGAGTGTTTAATTCAGCTGTAAACCTGGGCTGCTGTGTGTATGTACGTGCAAACACAGAGACAGCCACCCCAGCCCTAATCATCGACAGATGCGCTGCCCGCACCTCCCAGCAGGGTTTTGTGCCTGGCACCCCACATCCCCTTCCTCCCTGCAGCATCAGTCAGAACAGTCTTTCTGATGAAACAGGATTCCTCCATGCAAAGCGCCAAGCACCATGCACACTGCACTGATGGGAAGAATCCATTTTTTCCCCCGGTGTAACTCCTAGGAATTACAGCCTAAAAGCACAGAACTTTTGTCCATGGGAACAGTACTTGTGCCCCATGTACACAGCATTACACGTCTACTCCCACATCGCCCTCCAGGCGAGGACAACAACCAGCTGCCCTGCAACACCTTGCCCTTCACCACGGACTCACGTGCACCACGCGTGTAAGTTCCTTTGGGAAGCACTGTCCGTAGCAGGCATGCGCTCTCTGCTTCCCCAGCTGCTGTCGGCACACAGGACAGCACCGCCAAAGTCTTGTGCAGGCCCCTGCAACTCAAAGCTAACGGCAGCTG